CAGTGCTGCAGTGGGGCTGCAGCCAAAGCAGTATCTGCGAAAGAAGCTTACTGAGCCATGAAAAAAACGAATGTGTGGGAAGCGACTCAATGAAACAATGTTCTGCGTTTTGTTTTGTGCTCCGTCAATGCACCAGCTTTCGTTCGATATTCAAATTGATTCCCCGCCCGAAAATACTGTTTTTCAGTTCCCCAATTTCGGTGTCGTCTCTTTTAGATCGTTGGCAGTGAGAGCTGCACTTCGTTTTGTGCCTCTGAGCAAATCAGATTTAAACTTCATGTCATCTCTTCATCTTAGCAAGCTTCCCGAATCCAAGACAAAGATGAATCAACGTAATCTGGCGTGACTCGTATACGGTACAGAAGCAAAGCTAAAACCACTGCGTGCCACTGATCTACTCAGTACAAAATCATTCAAACAAATGATATCAGTTTCTAAGCTTTATAAAGATCGAGATTTAAATCACTAAATTTATGGTTTTCCAGTTTGTTGGCGCTCACAAACACATACATCTCGTATGTACGGGATCGCACACATGCATACATACGTAATAGATACATATACGCATACACACATATACATACATGGACACATACATATATTCATAAATGCATACATACATGCGTACATACACACATACATACCTTTATATTACATGGAGGCAGAAGGCATACGCAGACCTATACGTACACATAAACAGATATATACATCAAGCAAACAAAGAAATATACATACGCATAATTACATACACAAGCACATGCATACGTGCATACGTACATGCACGCACACAAGTAACCTCATAAACGTGACATTTCAGTAGCAAGCCGAAATGTGAATTTACTGGGAGAAATGAAAATAAGGAAAGTAGCACTGCTTAAACTGTAAACGAGCAAAAGCAAACTCCACACATCCTGTATTACTGACTCGCATTTGCTTTTGCTCCAGAGGAAAAGCTATACCAATTCGTTCAAAACGCTACTGATAGTGATGGCTGCAGAAGTGAAAGGCTCACGTAGATGTACCAGAAAATGGTAACGATCCTAAATGAGATCGAACCTCTAAAATTTCGACTTTGCACCAAATCAATAATAGAGACCAGTCTATGGACCATGTGCAGGAAGAAACGTTTGGATGCACTTGTGTTTCATTCCATAGCAGTACACAAGACCGAACGCTGTATGCCGGTAAGAGTGCAAATCATCAGTACAGTCTCTTATTCGCCTTACACCTGGATGAGCTTGTATCAAATTGCATAAGAGCAAAGTCAAATCCACCAGATCAGTTTCCTGGGGAGGGAGCCATCGACAGCTTTGCTGGCCAGGAGCGGCTGCTTTTGGTAGCTGTCTCTTCAGGATGCTTTCTGGTACCCTCGCCTGCCACTGTAGACAGAACAGGTGTTTTTGACCTTTGCATATCAAGTAACTATAATTTATAATCTTTTACGGGAGCGTCTGATATATCCCATGTGGTCTAGTGGTTAGGATTCGTGGCTTTCACCCACGCGGCCCGGGTTCGATTCCCGGCATGGGAAGCGCTCCTTTTCCAGAACTTTACTCTTTTAGATATATCACAATTAATAACGCACTAACTAACATTTTATAAAATAGGCAGATATTAGGCAGGATCATCAAAGCTTTTTCAGACACAGTACATTTGAAATGGATGCGCACTGGTGTATTTAAGCGGCATTGTTTGCCCATTTAGATGGTGGATCAAACATACCCGTTACTGAACGAGAAGTATGTGTCCTTACTTTTCCACGATATTCGGAGATTCAAGAATTTCCCACTGTCATGCCTTTTTGACCTAATTTTCGCGCCTCTCACCCAGACTCACTTCTTTATTAGGCCTTTCATTCACTGAGCGGACGGTATGGAGAGCAGTCCACTGAGACGCCACTTCAAGTCGGTGTTCCCGAACCATGTCGGCCATCCGGGTTTGTCTGCGGTGCTTGAGATTTCAGCGATTTTTCGACATTATGACACGCTCCGAGGGCAGTTCACATGCACGCTGAAGGAGGATGAAGTGCTGTACGAGACGCTGCAGCTGCAGATGAACGAGTATTTCAGCAACGAGCTGACATGCTGCATTGCCCCACGGGTCAGTTTCCAAGTTTCATGAAATCGTACTTGTTTTGTTGGGCGAGTGGCCTAGACCAATACCGAAATGCTGCAGCCAGTGCGCACCTTTTGGGATATCAAACGGACACTTGCTGTGGATAACGATCCCAAACAAAGATAATAATGATAATCACAATCACATCAAATGTATCACTTTTATACAATGCTCATCGCATTTAATCACATTCACATAATCTTCGCATGAACTATCTCCAGCAGTGAATAGCCTCCCCTGCCAACACTTGAGAAACTTGGATCAGCCCAGGATCGAAGGACCTAGCACAAATGCGCTCGGTATGTGGGAGTATCCTATTAACACCATTAACAAGGTACTCACACTGATATGCCTAGTGATCGTAATATTTTTAGTTTGCTATTCATTTGCGAGCCACCAAGCGTATGATGAGCTTCTGTTTAGACATGGGCCCTGCGTATAGGTGCATCAAACGTTCAAATGCAAAACC